CTGGGATGATTTATAGGTTTGCACTATTATTTAAGGAATCACATTTTGTTCTGAAAGGTTATGATTAATTCTAAACTATAATTATTCAGAAAATGATTTTGGCTTCAAGCAAAGTCTGGAGCAACAGATGACAGAAAAACTGCAGCGTTTTACAGAAAACATCAAAGACAGCAACATTTATAAATCACATATTTTAATTGTTCAATATTTTCTCTCTGGAAAGTGGTATTTATTGTTAGCTTTTATCAGCAATTGCTAGACATAAACCCCATACTAGTTTTACTGCTCCACTCTGCATGTACAGTGCCTAAGCTTTAATTTTAGATTTGGGAAAAATCCATTCTTTGCTTTTTTCTAAAGACATTTATAGTAAGTATAATCTTTTATACTTTCATACATGCATATTTACATATTTAGTACATCCACTTTCAATGAAGAAACTTATTGATATAAAAATTTAACCTAGATAATGTAAAACTTACAAAAATGTAATATGTAGACCAATTAAACAAAAGACACCAAAATGTCAGCCATTCATTCAAATTCATTGTAAGAAAATTCATTTAAAAGGAGAAGGTAAGAGAGAGAAAGGCAGAAAGTAGGTTTCAGAGACTGGATGCAGTCTTAATTTTAAAAAAGACAATAAAACAATTACAAATAAATCTTAATACAGTGATCAAGCAAAGATGATATTCTACACTCTCATTCCTCTCTATATTACAGCCTTAGGTTCTAAACTTTGCTTGATCAGCATAATAGGAAATATCTAACCAATTATAAATGAAGTAAAGAAACCTGTAATTCTATGTGTATTCTTTCCAACAGTGTTGGAATAAAATATATTTAATATGCATAGGATTGGGTTTTATTAATCATGGTTTTAATTAGTGAAATGTAAATTGTATATAATATATACCCTTTTACCAATAGAAGAGAATATATGTAGCTTAGGGTTGAACTGTGGAGTCCTTGGGGTTCTCTGAGCTTGGTTGTTTTCTTGCAGACGTTTTGATACCCGTCTAGGTACATCTTCTTACCTAGGTGCATGATTGCTTGTCTGAGTTGGTAGGTCCTTGTTGTTGACTGCTTGATTGTTTGTCTGGTGTTAATCCTGGTGTTAATCCCTGCTTATCCGGGTGTTGATTGCTGGCGAGGAGGTGTTCTGTCTTTTTGTTTCCTTTTTATGGTCTCTTTTGAATAGTGTGTAAATGTTGTTTATCTCTATGTGCCTGTTGATGGCTGACTTGTCTGACATGAACGCCCACTAGCAGTCAAAAGACATGATGAAAACTCCTCAATCTCACAACACATGGACAGACTTAACCATAATCAAAACTGGGAAACTGTCAGCATCTTAGGCCAAGCTAAGTCCAAAAATATGAGGGAATTCCTGGAAGCTTGGTATTCAGACAAGTCAGCCATCAACAGGCACATAGAGATAAACAACATTTATGCTAATCAAGGAACTACCAACTCAGACAAATAATCGAGCAGTAAACAACAGCCTAATCTAGGAACTACCAAGGAAAAAACAACTCCCCCACTAACACTGACAGGGCAAGCTACTGTATATAAACAGAGAGCAAACCCCGCTCTGTTCTAGCACTTATGATGTTACCTAGACGGGTAATGAAACGTCTGCAAGAAAACAACCAAGCTCAGAGAATCCCAAGAACTCCACAGATAACCTTTTACTTTTATTCTTAACTGTCCAGAAAATTAGTTATCTTTTCATCAAAAATAAAACCTTGCCAAAATGTAGACCAACACTGAGCATTACCAGTGGGGAAAAATGCCCTTTGGTGGCTATAAAATTCAACAGAACAGAAATGAAAGATTGATTGCTATATATGATAGATTGATTATTTTGTCAACCTAGAAAAGCTATTGCTTGAAGTTCAACACCATAACTAGTTTAAAAAATATATATATCAGCTTTCTCACCTTAAGAATAGTGTCATGAAGCAAATTAGATTTGGCTATTAACGACAGAGTTATTTTGACAGAAGAGAAAGAAGAGGATTTTTGAAATTGCACTGTTGCCGCACCCAGTTTGGATTGCAAAAACAAAAAAATACAGGCCTCTTCCTGTGATGCATGTAAAAAAGGGCAGGGTTTTAATTATGCTGGCACAGCTGCCATCTCGATTGTTTTCACACCCTCCCTCCCCCCGCCTTGGATGCCCCTCTTCCTCAGCTGCTTAAAAGAAAGAGAGAAAAATTTTCAAGGAATATTTCACCAATCATCTCCCACAAAATCCTTTTCATGCAGAAAAGGTTCACCTCCAAACATTTCACTGCTGCCTTGTTAAAAGAAAAGATGACTACAAGTGGAAAAATTGTATATGTAAAGATGACTCATACAAATTGCAGGATGATCAATAATCCTTTTACAGGCTTACTTCCAGCTGCACCATCATCCTTAAAAGATTAACTTGCTGTTAAGATGATAATCTTGAGGGGAAAAAAAAGCATTGTGAAATCATCTTCATGAGGCTGAGTTCCTCAATCCTACTGCAAGGTGCATTTCTGGGCATTGTTGATTTCTGTCATAACACTTTTCACAACTGTGTTTTTATCTAGCTAGCAATCTTTTCTTAGTCTGTACTGTTTCATATGGATCCACTATTTCTCCTTCCTTCCTTGCTCTTCTGAGCTTGTATATCAAAGGGCCCCGAAGACTTGGCTCTTTGCCTAGGTCTTTGGTGAGTGTGATTGACGCCCCCTTTTCTTCTTTTTCTGTGTTTCCATTTGGGTTTGTTATCTCTGCCATCTTTGTTCTTTTTGTTTTGTGTTGTTTTCTTCTTTTAAATGTTTTTAATAATTTGTGAGCCACCCAGAGTTGCTGGGAGTCAGCTGGTATATACATTTCATAAATTATTATTATTAATTATTATTATTATCATCAGTCCTTGAGTTATGCTGCTTCTAGGTGCAGAAGCATTTTGACTAAATGCTTCTATATATCCTTCTTGTAGACCTTTAAATATAACATAACATAACAAACATAACGTAACATAACATAACTCAGGAACAGAAATATGCTAGCTGATGCTTATCTGCTTATTTTCTACATGCAGGGTTGGTTTCTTTTCTTTTCTCTTTCTTTTTAGAGGTGTATTTTGTTTTGTGAGCTCCCACTTGCAGTCTGTCTTAATAGAAGCCAGATACTGGTTTTCCCAGCTGACCAAAAAGATGAAGACGTATTTGTATCTTCAAATAAACATGCGGTATAGATCCAATTTCTCTGCTTGCAAAAGGGAAGAGGCAGAGGCTAGCTATTGCATGACTGAAGAACTGGGTCCCTGTCAAAGTTGCTTATGATTAATTAAAAGCTTACAAATTAATTTACCGATGATCTAATTCAGAGTTATGATTTAGTAATTACATTTAAATATAGTTGGAAGGATTTTATTGTTGCTCTGATCTTCACTTTGGTTTTGGTGAAGCTGTAAGCAACCTGCAGTGTTTTATAGAAAATTTTAAGAAAAGCAAAGCTATACATCATAGGTTTTGTCTTCTTTTTTATCCTAAAAGATGGTTTTTGCATAGCTTTTGTCAGCAATAGACTTTGTATGCATCTGTGTGTTTGTGTGCGTGAATGTGAGAGAGAGAGAGAGAAAGAGAAAGAGAAAGAGAAAGAGTGAGTACTGCTTTCATTGCTCCATTTTGTAGGTAGGGTTCCACTTTTAATTATCTCACTTCAATTTAGTTTAAACAACGGGTTTGCAAGATTTGCTTGCTTATGCATCATCTGTTTGGCTCTGTTCCTGCAGAGTTGGGAAAAATCATAGACTCACAACATCATAGATTTATAAAGGACTA